GTTTTAAATTAGCTTCTCAATCATCATCTGGAAAGAAAACATCCTAGAATAACGTCATTAAAACAGCTCTGATATAACACAGTCACTATTACATATCATAAAGCAGGTACAAGATATTTTACATTCACAGAGGGATGATACAGGACGGTCCTACATCTAAAATACTAGAGGAAACAATTAAAAAGGCATTATTTGAGACTTGATTCTACTTTCCAGCAGAGGGCCCATAGGATGGTGTGACACAGCTGTGGTACAGAAATGCATTTTCTTAGATCGGATTTCCTTTCATTAGTGGCACAGTTTTAAGTACTCATGGCTCTTCATGAGCATCAGCTAAAAACCGTTTTTAAAAACACCAACATAACATTCCAAAATGAAAACAAAAAAACAAAAGCCATTGGATTCATACAAAGATGACCAAGTGGAGGCAAGCAGTACACTCATCCTAAGTATTATTTTACCAAATCTGTTGTATGAATGGTGAGAGCTCTATGGAAGAAAAGAGATGCCAAGTAGCACTTTAAAGCTTTGGGCCACAACCAAAACAAAACATCATTTTAAAAAGCAGCAGTAGCCAAACACTGCTTGTTGGAGATGTTCCTGGATGCTGACATCAATACTTAATCATCTGCTCACTCATCCAGGTAGAAGGGAGATCAGTTACCATACTTTGATTGCGTTCAACTCAATCACCATGTTACAAAACTAGCAAGCTGCCATAATAAAAAATAAGGCTCCTCTAAGCAGCACCAGTTATCATCGGTTCTTCATCACCAAGCCTACAAATGCTAAAACCACATCCAAACATAGGAAGCAACAAACCGCATTCTGATGTAGTAGCTGGGACCACTGCACTACTCAGGCTGAGCTAGTCATCTGCAGTGTTACTTTCCTCACAGTTCTGGTATTTCATCTAATCATAAGGATTTGAGTTCTTAATCATATGCACTCAGAAAATGTGTGCACAGATTTGTATATAAATGCTGACTGAAGATGCGTGGCCATCAACAGAGCGTGTTCTATAGTAAGTGCAAGCTTGCAAAGCTTCATTTTACTGGTACTGCAGCTGTGTCAGTGTAAATTGCTCCTGTGTCCCTTGTGCATCTCCAAGTTCTGGACAGGATAATGTCACAGACCATTTTACCCCTTTGGCTGCTGGCATTACCTGACTTATTCTCCCCACCCCAACCCCATCCTCTAACCCCCTGCAATAAAACCATAGCCTTTAAGATTTTGTTTCTTCGGTTTTGATTGCCTGAGGCTTGATTGGTCCAGTTCTAACAGGTTTGGTGGCAATGGTGGGTGTAGGGGGTGACTTTTCTTCCACTTTTTCCTGACAGACACCAGGAGGGTCAGTCAGTGTTTCAGGAGGTTTACTTGAATCACTGTCCACTTTCTGGGCTTTGCTTCCTATTTGTTTGCTCTGTTGCTGTTCAGAGAAGAACCGTTGCGTGGATTGAAGAACCTCTGCTCTCTGTTTTGCCTTAAAAAAGGAGAAACAACAACTGAAAATGTTGTAGCATTACCAAAGCCTGTCAATCAATCTCAGTTCAAATTCTTTTACCAATCACAAATCAAGAGTTTTCCCCATCTTGAATAGGCCCAAAGCAAAAAATACCTCATTGATCTTTTCAAGCTTTTAATGTATGGATTTCTTCCTATCTTTTAAAATATTTTATGTGACTTAAAAAAACAAACAAACAAACAAAAACATTCAAAACAACAGGACCACCTCCCACCACCTTTTCCAGGTTTGCCCTCTTATAAAATAGTAAAATAGAAATTGTTGTTGGTTTGTACTTTTTCTGGAGCAAAGCTTACTGATATAAAATTAAATTTAGGGAGCCTATTTGCAAATTTGAAAACACATATGTTAACACTTAAAACTTCTATTTATCAATATTTGGTCTACAATAAAATGAAAAGGAAGCACTTATATTGTGGCATTACCAACACCTAGGACCAAATGTCTTGTGGCTGAGTCCTCTTCCCACAGCTCTCTTCTGCAGGGGAAGAGCATCAGAAATTAGTAACTACAACTTCACTTGATCACTAAGTTCTGATAGCTCCTACCACATTCTGAGCTGGTAAAATAGATAATTTCTTAGTTTTATTGACTATGTGCCCCAAAGAACATACTTACGTCAATCTGTAAACTATACCACTGTAACATATACAATAAAAACTTAAGTTTCAATACTGCTTGTGTATAATTTAAAAAAACCTTCGTGTTTGATAGGTAATCTGTACTATCCAAAGATCTGAAGTTCTTGGCCAGACATCTGTGCCCTCCTCCACCCTATTAAGACTGTTAGGCTCTAATAAAAGCTTCAACATGGGAATACAGGAAATTCAAGTGCCGAGGAGCCAGGAGCAGAACCGGTAACCAAGGACAAATAGTTCCCGTAAATTTCTACACAAACTAGTATTTTAACAGTTAACAGTAGTTAAAAGCAAATAATGTTTAATGCGAGTTTTACTTCAGGGTTGGTAGTCTTTAAATTTGATTACTCAGGATCAGAAACACAAGGATGTCAACTCAGTAAAAAACTTTAATCAGACAACCGAATAACAGGATTATCATAAACATGTTTCTAATTCAGAGTAAAGCATTACTATGGGTATTTTCCCTATTAGAAAACCAGTAAGTTTTTCTTTGTTCTAGCCTGACCTGCAAAAGTAGTGGCAAACAGGCAATGTTACTAAGATTTCTCTGAATTGATTCCGCTGGCTGTAGAGGCAGACAGGTTAAGTGTATGAATGCTGTAAGAACTGTCCCCACACAGTCTCCTGGGCACTCTTCTGCATTAGCAACCCTCGTGTTTATCAGTGCCTTTCAACATGAAGGATCCCAAAGTGCTTTTCTGAGTTCTTCATCTACGACTGATGAATTCATGGTGGAATACAGTCGCCTCAGGTGGCAGACAAAAAAGGGTAAGAAAACATTTTAAGAAAACTGTAATGGGATGATTCATGAGGGAAGAAAAATCAAGACAGGTATCATTCCTTACCCATTCTAGAGTTTTGGCATAATAATGACTGATATGTTAAGTTTAGGGAGAAGGGTGGAGAAAAAAAGGAAAACCAAAGAAAGGAAAAAATGAAAAACTAAAATGGGGAAACCTGTAAGTCATATAACTTTGCTGTTCTTCAAAAACAAAACAAAACAAAACAACAACAACAAAAAACCGCACCTAAACTCAGATCTCCCTCAAATATTTATAGGCAACTCATTTGGCCACGGATTTTAAATCATTAACTTCTTT